GGCGGCCGCAAGGACCCGATCCTGGTCGTCGCTCGCAGATTTGCAACACCCCGAGCCCAAGAAACAAGTGCAATCCGAAGTGGCCGGAAGGCGCGACAGGGCATCGGCATTAGTGTGGCGAATCCCCTTGCGATATTGTTGTTTCGAAATCGAAATCCTGAATGATCTCCAGCCATCGGGATAATTGCCCCGATGGCTGGTGAATACGCAGGGCATACTGCAATGCCGCATGATCTGTATGGACGGTGAAATGCCGGCCGTACAGATATGGCCGGTACTGTTGAATAAAGAAAACAATAGCCAACAGTTCACGGCGGGTGATGCAGTATCTTTGCTCGGCAGGAGACAATACTCTACTACCGTAAGCCACTACACGCTCCACACCACCAACAACTTGGGAAAGCACGCCCCCAATCCCCGTATTGCTCGCATCCGTGTCGAGCACGAAAGGTACAGAAAAATCGGGGTAACTCAACGGCGGGGCCCCCACCAAGGCGTCACGAAGAGAGTTAAAGGCGGCCTCCTCTTCCGGCCCCCAATGAAACTTCACCCCTGTTGCCGTTAAGGCAAGTAACGGCTTAGCGATGGAAGCGAACTCCGCGACAAACCGCCGGTAATATGAAGCAAAACCGATGAAGCTCCTAACCTCCCCCACCGAGGTGGGAGTCGGCCAGGAGCTGACACAACGCGTTTTGGCGGGATCGGTTGAGATACCTGACCGTCCGACGATGTGACCCAAATATCTCACAGATTCGTGGAGCAAATGGCACTTTTGTGGTTTAAACTTCAAATTAGCTGCGCGCATTTTGACAAAGACGGCCCGAAGCCTATCAAGATGTTCCTCAAATGTCGTCTAGGTAAATCAAACAGACCTCCCATTGCAAGCCAGCGAGAACCAATTCCATTAGGCGCTGGAACATTGCGGGAGCTGAGTGGAGCCCCATAGGCAAACGATTAAGTTGGAAGAGGCCGTGCGGTGTTCGAAAAGCCGTTTTGGGCTTCGATTCGTCATCCAAAGGAAGTTGCCAAAAGCCTGACAGCAAATCCAAGGTGGAGAAGAATCGTGATCTAGCCAGGGCATCCAGAGATTCGTCCATTCGAGGAAGCGGGTAAGCATCGGCCACCGAGATGTTATTCAAACGCCGAAAATCAACGCAGAACCTTAGGGACCCATCCTGCTTTTTAACCAACACTATGGGTGCACCCCAAGGGCTGGTTGAGGGGGAAATAATGTCAGAAGCCAGCATGTCATCTACAGCCGATTTGACATGATTTTTTTCAGCGGGACTTAACAGAAAAGGATTTTGGCGGATAGGAGCGTTGTCACCGGTGTCAATATGGTGGCGCAGCAATTTTGTACATCCGATATAATATTTGTGCTTACTAAAGACGTCGGAAAATTCTCGCAAAAGGGTACGCAATTTAGCACGTTGTGAGTCAGATAGGTCAGGTGTCTCAGCACAAAGTGCCTCGTCATAGTCTAACTGCAGTTGCGGCTGAGAAGCGGTGGCCACCTGGCCAATGATCGGCGTTTCCGCAGGTACCGGAATCGCGTGTGCGAACACGGTTCCTTGGGAAACCACAGCCGTCCGTGTCCCGACATTGAGGACCGTGATGAACGGGTCCTCATCCCCTTTAACAATAGTCTGGGCCGTCACCAAATCTGGCCCATTCACCCCGGCCCTAGACGGCCCCAGCAAAATGCCCTGGTCCAAGACCCCTTTAGCGATCGGTCGATGCAACCTCAGGGGCACGAGCATCTGTGCCCCTGGGGGTACGCGCACCGTTCGAGCAACGAGCGCCTGTACCGTTGCACAGGCTGTACGCAAGGCAGGGGTGGAGGGCAAGAACGTCATACGTCGGCCCGATAGAAGTTTGATGCATCCCTGGTCAATTAAAATTTTGACAGGCATTTCGGCCAAAAAGTCTGTCCCCAACAGGCACGGAATTGCCAGAGAGGAGGAGACCAACACCGGCCCAGATAATTTAATATCTCCGATAGAAATTTGCGCTCGAATTTGGCCGATGATACCTAACGAGCCCCCGTTTGCAGCGTAACACGGTATGTCGACGGGGAGCAACGGGCGACTCTGAACGGGCAGGATATTATAAATTAAATCGGAAACGATAGTCGCCGATGCTCCCGTGTCGATCAATACCCGTACTTCCACCCCATCAATGTGCCCCGTGACAACGGACGACCCCGCCGACACAGCCACAACACGGTGAGCCAACTCGGACCATTGGCCCGGTTGGAGCGCCCTCCCCATCAAGCCGCGACCCGACGCACCAGCACCCGAACCCCGATAATCGTGTATCAGGGCATGTGAGAAAGAAGTGGGTGTGCGTGCAGGCCGAACATGTGGGGTGCCACGACTTGCCAGAGGATGTTGTGGAGGCTTTTGAAGAGGGCCGTCCTCAGCCCCAGTTCTTACCCCGCGCTGTCGAGGAGCCCGGCATCCTGAAGCCACGAGCCGGTCGCCCGCCAGACCGCCATCCCGCAGAACAGCCCGCAGCGAAGACCCCCTCAGATTCGGAGGTGGTTGCCGCAACGGTGTGTCCCGCAGCTGCCTTGTTGGCCTTCCTCCGTTGGGAAATTTGGTTGGCATGGATGTGCCTTGCAGCCCGCAATGAAGACATGTCCGCATCATCCTGCGCCAGGATGACGAAGTTGAAGTCGTCGGCCAAAAGCAGAATTTTTTTGGCCACCATCGCGTCCACCCCTTCCTCGTCCATGCGCAGGAAGGCCGCCTTCGCCAACGCCAACAGGGCCGTGCGGTACGCGAGTGGTGACTCCTTGTCGTCCCTCTGCCGCTCGTAGAAAAGCTGGCGACAGTCGGAAGGTGGCCCATAAACCGTGGCCAGCACTTGAAGCACCGACCGCAGTGTGGAGCGTGCCGTCCTGGGTGCAGCAGTGACGGTGCCAAGGGCGTCGCTATCCAGCATCGCCGGAAGAGCACGCAGCGCCTCGTTGTCCGTCCACCCAGCCATCTCTTGGTGGGCGAGGAAACGGCGCTGAAACCCACTCCAATCGCCGCCGCTTGATACGAACTCCTGCAAGGCCGGCAGGCGTTGCTGAAATGTCGGCTCCGTCTCCGACGATCGCCCAGCACCCGTACCGTCTCCATGGACAGTATGGAGAGCAATGGCGGACCCCAATGGAGGTCGCGCCGTCGGTGACGCGTTGGTTTCGGCTTGGTCGGTGCTGTTGTCCGCTGTTGAGGACCTGGCGACCGCTGATAGGTAGCCACTGCGACCCGCCGATGACGTGGTGCTTGCTGGTTGGGCCCCGTTGCCCGCGTGACATGCTGGGGCCCCTCCCTCGGCTCCTACTGTACCCGTGGCGGGAAGTTCAAGCCTCCGGCCCATCGCAAAGGCGGGAGTTTTGGGCGGGCGCTGTCCGTCTTCACGGCGCGCCGCTCCCCCCGGCCCCAGGCGGGTTATCTGCTCCAGCGTGGCGGCCGCTGCATATAGGAGCTCCGCCAATCGGGAGTGGGCCAATGCCAACTCATCAGCCAACGTCCCGGCTCTCTCCGACTGCCCTGCTGGTGGTGGAGCCGGCAGCGGTTGGCCAGGTACGTCGGCGGCGATATCTTGCACCGCCTCTCCCAAGCTGTCGTCCTCTCCGGGGTCTTGGGTATGAGTTGTCCGTCTCGTATCCATTCTTTCGACCACTTCTGATGCCAGATGTAGTGAGTTCCAGGGAGACTGACGACGGAGTCGAGGCACACTCTTTTATTCAACTCAAGGGCAGTAACAATACTTGAAGGCGTAACGGCCCCTTCATCCGTACTAGATGGGATAACACCCCTAGCACTATTTCCCCTGTCCTATTCCCAGTCCTCCTCTAATAGTGCTATGGGAGGTTATCTGATCCGGCCCTGGTAAAGCACGGATCCCGGCACCCAGCTAACCCGGCCTTGCTCTTACAAGAGCAGAGGTCCAGAAGCTCTTGGGGCCGCGCCACTGGCTTGCCCTGCTCGGCCCTGACAAGGGCAGCGAGACAGGGGAGTCCCAGGGCCTATTCTGCCGGTCTTCAGACTTCACTGGTAAGCTTCTTCCACACTGGCCCCAAGCTCTCTGGCTCCCCGCCTTTTATAGGAATCCCCTCCGAGGGGTGGAGTTATGGGGGATCACAGCGTCCAAATGGCCCCCCAGGTTAACGGATGCAGACGTGGATGTAGACACCCGCGTGTGGGTGCAGACACCCTTGTGTTTTCTGTCTGCCCTTCTCCCCATAATAACCCCTACAAATGTAATGGCATTTTGGGAGGCAGATTCATGGCAGAAAGGCGCCACATTTTAACCAACATTTCGACTTGATTATTCGCCTGAAAAGGCCTTCAGGCTAATTACAGGCAATTGGAGTACTGACGCCTCTGTTTCTATTGGACAGGGGTTGGGGAACCTATCGTCTTTTCACTGCATTTCACACAGCCCACAACTTCAGTTCATATGGTCCATGACATCATTTTAAACAACCCACGACTTAATTTCACATGGTTCGTGACTTCCTGTCATATGAACCGACACTGTATTTTATATGACCTGCAGCCACATGAGGCCTACCACTTTGAAAATGATAAGTAAACATTTTTCTCTTTCACATATCCATGTATCCAAGTTTAAAACAGAAGTATATTTTACATACATCCCAGGAGAAACACACTTAACCCAGTTCTCAAGAAATTAGTTTTCAACTTAGATAAAAAAGTGCATAGCTTTAGTAGCGTCCTAATATTGGAAGTAAGAGCGATCCAAACGGCCATAGAAGTGCATCCGAAAGTGTGCGATGTGGTGACCATCTTTGTTCGATGGTGTGCCAAAAGCAACTTCTGGCGAGGATGACTGGAGTTTGCATGATGATGGTTTTTGCTCCTTGACGAGAAAAGTCAGCGTTGAGGCTGTGGGTGAACATTGACGCTGTGCATTAACGCTGAGGCAGTGGAACAGCATTTTTTTTCCACTTGCCTCCCACCCCTTCGCTCTCCCTTCCGCAGGCTGCGTGCAGGAGGCCGGCATGACGCTCTGCTGGTGTGAGCAAGGTTCCGTGTGGAGCGCCTCGATGTGCAATTCTCTGGGACCCTGCTTCCTCCACTCAGCCTCGGCCCAAGAGAAGAGCCCCTGTGCGTGCGTCCGGCAGTCACCTCCCGACAGCGAGCGCTGCCTTCCCACCACCCAGGCTTCTTCCTCAGCAGGGCATGCAGATCCCGGTGTCCGCTGTCACGGGGGCGTACCCAATGGAGCTCTCACGAGGAAAGAGAAAGGAAAAATTGCCGATGGGTGCGGGGAAGACAGCGGCAGTGGCGCAGAAGAATTTCAAGGCATTCGACGGCATGGGGAGGGTATCGTTATGGTTGGCGGTGGGAGAGAGCACGACGTTCACCACGCGGACGGAGCTGCCTTCGTTGGAGGAGGGAAAGGAGACGGTGATAATAAAGCTTCTATTGTCCAAGCTGAAAGAGATTCCGTTGACTTAGTTCCACCCAGGAAAGGACACGACGATGTCAAGCTCTCCAGGGAAGATCGCATTGTTCCACTGGAGGGAGACCACGTTCTTGAAGCCAAAGGAGAGGAAGGTGAGGTCATTCGCAAGCGTAGGCAGGTTTTGCTTCCGGTCGAGGACCGCAATCTAGATCTCAGGGATCAAACGGACGACTACGACAGCACGGACGAATATGAGACAAGTCCCATGTCTACTTCAACATCGTCCGCTCTGTCTTCACCATTATCATTGATGACGCCGATCGGTTCAACGAACACTGCAGGACAACAAACTCGGAGTTCCACAGGCCAGGCGGGTCCTGGCCCCAGCATGGACTCCACTGGGATGACCACGGCCACCATCGCGGACGACGGAGACAGCACCGGCGAGTATGAGGACAGCACAGTAGCAGCGAGCACGGACGGGGACACGGCAACGGCTGGTTCTACTCCGGCTGACCTTTCGCAATTGACCAAATCTCCTCCAACTGAACTTTCGCCATTGACTGCTTCTACTGTTAATCCACAATGGACTTCCCACACAGTTTATACCACTGCTGATGTTGACCCTGTGACAGACTCCACCACAGGCTCCAATGTCACTTCAGAGATAGTTTCTGCAAGGCCGGATGTCTCTCTCATTACAAAGCCAGATGTCTCTCCCGTTACAAATCCAAATTTTTCTCTCATTACAACACCTGATGTCTCTCCCGTTACAAATCCAAATGTTTCTCTCATTACAACACCAGATGTCTCTCCCGTTACAAATCCAAATGTTTCTCTCATTACAAGGCCAGATGTCTCTCCCGTTACAAATCCAAATGTTTCTCTCATTACAACACCAGATGTCTCTCCCGTTACAAATCCAAATGTTTCTCTCATTACAACACCAGATGTCTCTCCCGTTACAAATCCAAATGTTTCTCTCATTACAAAGCCAGATGTCTCTCCCGTTACGTCACCTGCCTCTCCCATTACAATCCCAGGTGTCTCTTCCGTTACAACGTCCCGTGTTTCTCCTATTACAACTCTTGGTGTCCCTTCCGTGACAAATCCAGGCATCACATCATCCACGGTGTCTCCCAATGCCTGCAAAGAAGGCAGCTCCTCCATACAATGTGAGTCGTGGCTGTGAGTCAATGTTGAGGATGTGGGTTTGTGTTGAGGCTTTGGGGCAGTATTGAGAAGAGATAAAAATACATTCTTGAATGAAACTCTATTCTTGAATTGTGAATATCGCTTCACAATTCGTTATGAATGCGTAAGGAAAACGAGGCATAAATGGCCCTTGTGGTGAGCTGTTAATTTTTACCCTATAACTGCAAATCTCCACGTTGCCCACAAATACGGGGATAGAAAGGAATCTTTGCATGGCATTACTACTGCAATGCAGATGCCTATACAATTACGGATAAGGGGTAGCTCTGTGGATTATGGTTGATGGGTCGGCTTATGGCCTTTAGTTTTTCTGTTTTGGCTCCAGAAATATGGATTGTAATAGGGTTCGTGTTTCAGGACTAGGATCATGGGTTACGAACACTGTACATGAGCATGCATTTCTTACTATGCATCAGACGAAAATAACAGCTGCCGTTTCTTCGTGTTTTGGCGCGTGTCTTTCAACAAGGGAGAAACGTAAAACTGAGTGATGCCAGCATCAATGAGGGGGACAACGTGACCCTGACTATGGCCGAGCCAGAAGTGGTACCGGAGTCGGTGATGTGGTGGAATAACGGCACGGTGATGGTGAATGGAATCGTGTTTACTCCGGGCTTCGCACCTGGAAGAGGACCCACACTTACGATAAAAGGCATCAACAAAAACCACAAGGGTGAGAGGAAGCATACTGCGTGTCCTCATATCTGCGTGTACGAGTGTGTGTGTGTATGTGTCCGTGGTAGTATTGCGGGTAGCTCACGTCACTAAGAATCCAGCTACCCGAATTCGATTCCCCCTCACAGCCAACACCATTAACGATTATCTGAACAGGTCCAGAGCCTCCGCTAAGTCGACTCAGCCTCAAATACGTACCTGGTGCGACGTGTAAACATCAGCACTGGGGAGACACCGGCGATCAGCCATGGTGCTGGCCACCCACGCCCTCGTGTACCATGCCAGCCTTCATAGGTGCTCGCTAACAGCACTGCCCCAACTAAACCCGTGCTGGAGGCCCCAGGGGGACAGGCGTTTAAGACGTCTTCTGGTCAAACCCTATTTTACAGAGTTAGACCGAACCCCCCCTCTCGGGATTCCTCCAGAAACAGGAGACCAATGTGGTTGGCCACGTGGTATGTTCAAACTCTCATTGCAGATAAGAATCTGCCACTCATGTGTTGGGAGATAGACCGGTACTGCCTGGACCTCTGTGCAATACAGCAGGTCCGGTGGACTGGTTCAGGCTCCAGTCACCATGAGGGGTGGACAGTGATCCACTTGAGGCAGGAAGCTACCAAACAATAGGGAGTGGCATTGCTTCTCAACAAATGTGTCCGGGCGTGGTGCTGGCCACCCACCCCTTCTTGTGCCGTGCTAGCCTTTACAGGTGCTACTCGCTCACAGCACTTTCTCCAAATGTTTTTTTAAACGTGATACGGGTGATAACTGTCTATGTATATGTGTCTGAATTAGTGGGAAGTGGTAGTATAATGGTTAAGTTACTGCGTTAAAAACCGGGCGACCTGAGTTCGAATACCGCTCATGGCTACCACTACCATCATCATCAATGACGAATACGTGAACCGGTTCTCGGCTTTCCTTTAGGTGGACTCAGCCTTTGTCTTTGTGTGTAGGAGTCTATTCTTGCGAGGCTTGTGTGGGAACCGTCCTGGTCAAGGGGAACGTGACATTGCCAACTATCCTTCCGGTCCCGGTCATGGACATTGAACGAAGCTCTTTGCCACAAATCAGCGTCGCGTGCAATGAGTCCACGACCCTGACCTGCTGCTTGACATCACTGGATGAAAATATCACGGTCACGTGGAAGAAAGAAACAGTGCAAATATCATCAGGTTTGCATGTATTTCTCTCTTGTTCGCAATTGTGAATTTAAATGTACACAATAGACGATGGTGGCCTTGTGTCTTTTTGTCTTTGTGGGTGCCACGGTGGCAAGACGTTAATTACCTTTCCTGGTATACAGGAGGTCGTGGGTTCGATCCCGACCCTGACATCTGCTGTATATTTGGATTTTGCGTCTTCTCCCCATGGTCGTGGGAATTTTTCTCCGGATCTTCCGGTTTTTATCCCAACATTTAGAATCAACGTGCATTTTAATTATTTAGCTGATATAAATTCCCACGTGATAAGCAATAATTTTAGCTAGGTTGCTTTTGAAAATAGCTTCCGTGGTAAGATAAAAAAAACAGTGTAGATAGTTTTGTGGTAGTCTCTCCACCTCTGTCCACCCGGCAGTGGTATCGATTGGTACACAACTTTTGGGTTAATTAGCAGATCGCTTTTGATGGATATAAAGTGTGAGTACTCTCACCTCTTCCAAGGCCGTCTCGCCAGTGGGGAAGAGGTCAAACAATACCCCCTTCGATCGTGCCTCCCTGGAGTTCCGGCTAATTGGAGGCACTTCCTGCAGCGGTGTCGTGAACAGGCGATGAAAAACAAACCCCAACTATTATATTTATTTCCGGGCAATGCCCACTGAGCTATGTAACTCTTTCAGAAGCAACCTGGCTATCACAAATGATAGCTCAAGCATTGGCTTATCATCACTTGGGAATTGATCTGTTTCTACCGACTCATAGAAACCCATAGACCCACAGAGACCCACACTAAAACTATTTTATTTACCAGGTAAAGCCCACTGAGCTAGTTTATTCAGAAGCGACCTAGCTATCATGATTGCTTCACGAAATGGCTTATCACGTGAACATCTATAGTAGTCAAATGCTCTTAAAACGCGTGATGTTGATTCTAAATATTGAGGAGTAAAACCAGGGGAGAAAAATTCACGTGACCACATATGCAGACGGCAGGGTCAGGATAGAACCCACGACCTCCTGCATACCAGGCGAGGTAGTTAACATCTCTTAGCCACTGTGGCGTGATTGCAGGGCTGTGCCTGTACCATATTTTGTATGTATGTTGTATGTATGCTATATGTTGAAAGTATGTATGTTGAACTTTTTTGGCTTTGTACGAAGCCAACCGTGCTAATCGGAAGTGCGGCAGGCCAACACAAAAAATCAGTTGCAAGGAAATGAATTTCTATATGATTTAAAATTATGTAGCTCCACAATGGCTTCCTAATATCGGATGGAAGAGCGTTCCAAACGGCCACAGACGCGCATCTGAACGTGCCGCGTGATGCAGTGACCGTCTTTGTTCGATGATACAATTTTTGCCTCCATCTCTCTATCTTTGTTGCGTGCTTTCAGTGACTGCCAAAAGCCTTTGTTCGAATTACACACATCCCATAAGTAACCCGTGCCAGGATACCGTATACACGTGTACATTCTCCAATGAAGCTGGTGCGACTTTGTATGCAATTCAAGTTAATTACATTCGGGCCAATGGTGAGTTATTCGTCTGCATTACACACCACACACATTTGTCCAAAGTTTTCAAAACTGTTATTGTCATATCTGGGTTGGAGCATCCAGCAACTATTTACTGCATCTAATAGATGTCAATGATCAGTTGTCTCCCTATCACTCTTCTTTCGCTACTACCGTGGTTACTGTTCACCCGAACGTCACTCATTTATTCTCCACCCATGTTGAGAACTCGGTCTATCAGACTGTCTATTTTTCCTCATCCGCACCATGTATAACCAGCACCACACTACAGGTCACAACAACATACTCACCCACTCAACCACACAACCACCCACTCACTCACTTACGCACCCACTGACCCACTTATATAAACTCAAGCGTAATGAGTTTACAGTCTGAGCCCGGTCACCAATCACTGCATAACACCGTCGTCGTATTTAATTTGGTTCTGCACTTTGGATACATTCCATCTCTAAAAATGCAAATGTTGCGACTTTTAAGGAACGAACATTACTCTCATATAGCAGGATGGGCGAGAATATGCTGCCCTCTACTGTGTGCTGGCCAGAGTGTCACATGAAGGGATCTCAGGGGAAGCTCTGTGATATCCACTTCTATGGGCAATTCTCTGACATGAAGGTGGGAGTGGGAGGAAGGGCAGCCACACGGAGCAATCCGAAAGGCTTCCTCCCGTGGCATGATGCCTAGACACCCAATCCGAAGTTGGAGCTACCACCGCCACAAACAAAACCAACCACAACCCCAACGTGAGTGCATCTGGCTCCGCTGTCTCGCCATTTTGCCTTTCAGATAAAACGTGCCCCTCGAACGACGCGTGGCCAGAGACAAAGAGGAACGGTGTCGCCCACGTCAGGTGCCCTCCGGGCTACGGGGGCACTGCCCTGCGGCGCTGCTCAGCCGACGGCGTCTGGGGTGCGATCTTCAAGAACTGCACCTCAAAGCGCTTCACCAATGTCGAAGGCAAAGTGCAGGTCTGTTTTCGCGCGTGCTGTGCATTCGTGCGTGCTGTGCGTTCACTCCCTGACATGTTAGCGCTCTACTGACCGTAGCGCTGGCGCCGATATTGGCACTGACACGGACACCAACGCTAGCACTCGCCAAAACCACTGGCGGGACGCTGACCCCAGACGGTGATCCAGATGCTGACCCGAGGTTCTGACCCCAGATGCTAATCCCAAATGCTGACCCCACTTACCCCATATGCTGACATCAGACGCTGACCCCAGATCTTGACTCCAAATGCTGACCCCAGATGATAACCCTAGATCCTGACTTCAGACACTGACCCCAGATACTGATCTCAGACACTCACCCCAGGCACTCATGCCAGATGCTGACCCCAGAAACTGACGCTGACCCAGACGCTGACCCGAGATGCTGACCCCAAACACTGACCTGAGCGATAACTGTAGCATAGCCCTCAATGTAGCAGTAAATCTAACCTTAATCCAAATCTAAACTTAACTTAGCATCAACACTAACCACTGCACTAGACCTACAGTAACCATTAAAACACCAACACTCACCATAACCCTAGTCTTAGTCCAAACAGTAATGCTAGCACTAACTTCAACACCAACCTTAACCCTAACATAAACCCCTAACCCTATCCCTGCAGCTAGGTTTGGTGGATCGTCGCATAAATGTTGTACAACTCCTTTTCAATGGGCGTCGAGGATGAGCCGTACCCTGGCTCACCAGTGGAAGGCGGCGGTATAGACAACTAATCTCTTTAGTTTTCCATCTGTACGGGGATGTAGATTAATCGCCCCCTTGCAGGCACGCACGCGTGGGTCTTTTCCTCCTAATTGTACAAAAAAAATTCATGGTTCTTATGACACAGTGTGGCTCTCCTGCATGGGTAAATACAGCAGTCCCTCATTTAACGGGGTAGTAGCGGTAAAAGCGTTCCTACATAGTGCCACAGTAAGTGAAAAGCGCGTGAAGTGAACACAATTTCCCATAATGTAATAATAATAATGTTTAGTGAAATACCATTTACTACTACACACATTAAGCAGCGAGATGGCGGGACATATAACTGAGGGTATGCCGCCGCACTGATGTCGGATTCCGCGTTACTGTATCATTCCGCATACTGTATTATTCCATGTATCGTATTGTTTCGTGTTACTGTATCATTCCGCAAACTCTATCATTCCGCATTACTCTATTATTCCACGTACTGTATCATTCCACGTATTGTATCCTACCACTCAGCCATGCAGCTCAAGAAAGTATTTAATCGTCAATCACTCAGAAACTGTGTCATAACGGTGCAAGTTCCGCGTTATAATGGTACGTGTTCTGCGTCATAATGGCACATTACATGTTGTAACGGCGCACGTTCTGTGTTATAACGGTACACGCGGCATCGCGTCGTAATGGTGCACATTCCACATCATAACGGTGCACATTCCGTGTTGTGTGGAAAGTGTCACAAAATGGAAGAACCGCGTCATAACAATAACGCGTCATGCGTGAACACCACGCATCAAGCAAGGACTTACCATCGAAGTAATAACAAAAATTAACTAACCCCCGGAACAGAACCTAACTCAGACCCTATATCCCTATCGCTCTCCCCTTATGTTGGCATGGGCAGCGAATGGAGGACGGCATCGGGAACCCCACGGAGTTGGTCCCACGGCTCCTGGCAGAGATGAAGACGATCACGCAGGTACCAGAGCCCAGCGGCCAGGAACCAACCCTGCTGATGGGGGATGTGCGTTCGGCCCATGCCTCCCTAGACAAGATCATAAACGTGGCGTCGGCCAGAGATGTCCGGTTCAACAAGAGCGTATCCAAGGTGAGCTCTGGAGGGAGATCATGAGAAAGAGTGGGTGGGGAGGGGGGTCTAAGGGCGGTGTTGAGTATATGGGCGGTGTTGAGTCTATGGGTGGTGTTGAATCTATGGGCTGTGTTCAGTCTACGAGCAGTGCTGAGCCTATGGTGAGGTGTTGAGTCTATTGGCGGTGCTGAGTCTATGGGCAGTGCTGAGTCTATGGGCAGTGTTGAGTCTATGGGCGGTTCTGAATCCATGAGCAGTGTTGAGATTGGGCAATGGGAGAAGAAAGCAAAGGGAGAGACAGAGATAAGATTGGGAGCGAAGAGGACGAGAAGAGGGGACGTGGAAGGCAATGAAAAAGGCAAGATGAGGTGGAGCAAGGCCATGGAGAGATTTAAATACTTGTGTCAGGTATTTGAAAAGAGAATGGTGGAGTCAATGGATAGCCAGCGGAGTTGAAGGAGGAGGAGAGGCTGAGAGTGAGAATTAAAGGTGGGATTGAAAAGAACTCGTGCAGAATAAGTATTTTTAATTTGGAATGACAGCAGAGATGGGGAGGCCAAGAATAAGAAAGGTTAGAGATCAGAAAATGAACCCGGAGTTTGGTGACAGAAATTGAAAGAAGACAGATTTTCCTGATTTTAATCAGATGAAAGCGACAGATGCCAGTAGTAGTGGAGATGTGGGTGGAACATGTGATTGAAGAATAAAAGGTGACATCGAAGTTGAGGGCAGAGGAAGCAGGAGTGGGGGAGAGGGGGTAGAAGGAGTAGGTTGGAGCGACAGGAGGAGAACGAGAGGCCGGAAATGTTTTATTGATGTTTTGGACGGATTTAGAATTATGGTGATAATGGTAGTGAGGTGCTGATGATGATCATCATGGTGATGGTGTTGGTGGTGTTGACCGCGATAGCGCTGTTGTCTTGTATCACTAAACACAGGATTTCCTGGACTCTGCGAGTAATCTCCTTAATGGATCCGTTAAAGAATCCTGGTCACAGCTGGAGTTCATGGACAGTATGGACAGCTCAAGCCTCCTCCAGACCACTGAGGACTTTACGCACCTTATTGATGCTGAGGATTTCTTCTCCAGTGCTCGGACCTTAAGTGAGGAAGGTTTGTTCACAAAGGCATTGGATGTCGCAGTTCAGAGAAGTCTGTCTGTAAAGAATCTGGATTTTTTTTGTCTCCAGCATGTAATGCTCTGGGGTTGTGTCTTGAATCATGATGTGGGCAGAGGGTGGGGCTATCTAAATAATGGGTGGGGCTACCTGTGTAGTGGTTGGAGCTATCTGAGTAGAGGGTGGAGCTACCTGAGCAGTGGCTGGGGATACCTGAGTAGTGGGTGGAGCTACCTGAGGAGTGGGTGGGGGTACCTGATTAGTGGGTCGGGCTACCTGAGTAGTGGGTGGAGAGTCTAGATTTGAAGCTACTCCTTCTAGTGGGTGGAGCTTACTTTTATGGGTTTGTAACCCAGGTTTATGGGTGCGTAGCCTAGGTTTGTAGGTTCGTAGTTAAGATTCATGGGTTCATAGCCCAGGTTTATGGGTGTGTAGCCCAGGATTATGGGTTCATAGTCCATATTTGTGGGTTCGTAGTCAAGGTTTATGGGTTTGTAGCCCAGGTTTATTGGTGAGTAGCCTAGGTTTATGGGTGCTGTCAGGTCAAACCATATGCGGAAATGCAACGGGACCACTACCCCCCGAGCCGTATGGATCCACGGGCCACCGCTCTAGATGGGCTAAGGAGGACCTTTGTCCCCAGAACCGCCAGGTCAAACCGTCTGCTGCAACATGACGGGACCGCTACCTGCACGTCAGGCGAGATGTACAAAGATTCCTTGAACATAACCTGAACCAAAGTACTCTACTCGCCGATGCAGGGAGTCCACATAACATTCGTGGCCCCGACGGCATCTGACCACAACCCTGGTCGGCAACAGTTTGCAGGGGCATCCTGCTCAGAAATCCATTCCCCAAGAGATAGGCCACAGCCAGCGTCTTAAACCGAACACTGGCTACATATCTCAATCTCCCCTCACTCTGAAATGGGCTACAATTCCCAACTCACCGCGTTCGCCGCTACGCACGCAATCCACATAGGCGAACCACAACAATCCCATATTTTAAAGGCAATGTCAAAAACTTCAGAATCAAAAGTAGCCAAGGCACCCGTGTCCCCTAACACACAAAATTCCACACCTTGCACAAACCCTGACTATTCCCAATGAACCAGCTGCCGCTGCTACTACTTGGCACGCCAGCTTTCGCCACCGCGTGCCTAGAGTTTGGCCTCTATGACACCCAATGACCCTAATGCGTGAGGTGGTTTTTAGCAGTCGGGTGTCTGGTGCATCGTGACTTGCCTGGGCTGGGCCGTGGCTGTCAATGAGGCGGTGGATGCGAGGAGCTCCACGATGTCCCCGCGAATCTTGGCATCCCCGCGCGAAGTGTTGAAGCTGGCCGCAGTGGAAGCAGGCGAGCCTAGGCACCCGTGGCGAAAGTGCCGATTTGGGCCGGGATCGCCACTCCCAGTGCTGTCCCGGTGTCCCTCCTCACCGCTGGTCCCCTCCGCAACCCGCTGGTGTCACCTTCCCCGTAGACTCCGTTTCTTTCTTCAACGGCTCCAAGACAATCTTTGATGGTCGCCCGGTACATTCGTCCCCAGTCCAAGACTTTCCGGTCCATGCAGCCACCAAAGTCCGTTTTCCCAAGGTTTTGTATGCTTGCAGGCACCACGCAGGGCCGACGGTGGACCATATACTGCAGACATCTTCCTGTAGGCATCCTGAAGCATAGCCCTCTTCTGCTCAGGGATGGCCCAAAATGCTGCGAGGCCATCATCAAGCGCCATAGGTAAAGCTCTCAACGCCTTCTCCTCCGTCCAGCCGACGGATTGGTACGCTGCTCCAAACCGGCGGGTGAAGGCACTCAAATCTCCCACCGCCGCTGTAAATTATTTAATCAAAGGCAATCTTCATGGTCGATCGGCGGTACCTCGCCTTACCGCAGGAGTTGACACTGCCTCTGCTGCTTCAAGCGCAGGACACCAAATGGCGACCATCAGTCGCGTCACCTCCCGCGAAATGGCGGCCCCCGACTGCGTGGTCCATATCCCTGCACGACTTTGCGGCTCGTCCCCGGCCATGTCAGCCCTTGAAGTTGCCACTCGCATCGTTGCCACCAAATCAGCGAAGGTCGAGCGGAGCAGATCCGGCTCCACCACCAGTTCTTGCCATTCTTCTGTTACCGGCGCCGTTTTCTCTACACCCGCATTATTTGTCACCGAGACCCCGGCTCCTGGGGCTGCTGGGGGGACCCCTTGGTCATCTCCTCTTCTGAAGATGCTGCAGGTGGTTTCTTACTCTTTCCTTTCTTCGGCATTTTACAAGCCACTTCTGACACCACTGTAATGTAGCTCTCAAAGACACCGTCTTGTTCAGTTATATGTATATTTATTATGAATAAATTACGCCGACTCACTGATAACTAGATTAACCGCGAGTGACTATATACACTTGGGTAACTTAGATAACTCTATTCTGAAACAACATAACTCTAGCCTTCCAAGACTACAAGGTGCCCACTCCAGGATGATGAAGACGACCCGCTCCAAGGTGACGACGGCGATGGCAGTTCCCCCACAACAGCAGCCAAGAGCACCGGTTCATGCAGGCTCTTATCCCCCTCATGACCCGGCCATACCCCTATTCCGGAACCTTCTCTCACCACACCTGGCCCTGTCTGTCTCTGCCCTTATTACAATTTACGACCGTTAGGTCCCGTGCTTCCACCTTACGCGACCCTGTCAAAGCCTGTCGCATCAATCATTAGTGACCACTTAGGTCCCACATTACCCTAACTTGACCCTGTCTGTTCCCATTATGTTAATTAGTAACCATGGCCACGGGGAGCCGTATTGTCCCCAAATCACCCCGTACTGTCCTTACAAAAGGAAGGTGTTCAGGTTTTTTTAATTCACCATATGTATTTTAGTTTCTCTTTCATATGTTTTAACTAATGTGTGAACTTTGTACTCTTTTGTGCATCTCAAATATTCAAGTATACAGTGAGGGAAAAAAAGCATTTGATCCCCTGCTGATTTTGTATATTTGCCCACTGACAAAGAAATGATCAGTCTATAATTTTAATGGTAGGTTTATTGGATGTGAGAGACAGAATAACAACAAAATCCAGAAAAAACGCATGTCCAAAATGTTATAAATTGATTTGCATTTTAATGAGGGAAATAAGTATTTGACCCCCTCTCAATCAGAAAGATTTCTGGCTCCCAGGTGTCTTTTATACAAGTAACGAGCTGATATTAGGAGCACACTTTTAAAGGGAGTGCTCCTAATCTCAGCTTTTACCTGTATAAAAGGCACCTGTTCACAGAAGCAATCAATCAATCAGATTCCAAACTCTCCACCATGGCCAAGACCAAAGAGCTCTCCAAGGATGTCAGGGACAAGATTGTAGACCTGCACAAGGCTGGAATGGGCTACAATACCATCGCCAAGCAGCTTGGTGAGAAGGTGACAACAGTTGGTGCGATTATTCGCAAATGGAAGAAACAAAAAAGAACTGTCAATCTCCCTCGGCCTGGGGCTCCATGCAAGTTCTCACCTCATGGAGCTGCAATGATCATGAGAACGGTGAGGAATCAGCCCAGAACTACACGGGAGGATCTTGTCAATGATCTCAAGGCAGCTGGGACCATAGTCACCAAGAAAACAGTTGGTAACACACTACGCCGTGAAGGACTGAAATCCTGCAGCGCCTGCAAGGCCCTCCTGCTCAAGAAAGCACATATACATGCCTGTCTGAAGTTTGCCAATGAACATCTGAATGATTCAGAGGACAACTGGGTGAAAGTGTTGTGGTCAGATGAGACCAAAATGGAGCTCTTTGGCATCAACTCAACTCGCCGTGTTTGGAGGAGGAATGCTGCCTATGACCCCAAGAACACCATCCCCACTGTCAAACATGGAGGTGGAAACATTATGCTTTGGGGGTGTTTTTCTGTGACTGCCAACAAGGGTTTTGCCACCAAGTACTAAGTCATGTTTTGCAGAGGGGTCAAATACTTATTTCCCTCATTAAAATGCAAATCAATTTATAACATTTTTGACATGCGTTTTTCTAGATTTTTTGTTGTTATTCTGTCTCTCACGGTTCAAATAAACCTATCATTAAAATTATAGACTGATCATTTCTTTGTCAGTGGGCAAACGTACAAAATCAGCAGGGGATCAAACACTTTTTCCCCACACTGTATTATGTTCACTTCGTGAAGCGCTCTCTGATAATTGAATTGTGAAGGGCGCTATATCTTCAATAATAAAAAAAATGTTACGCATCCTAACCCGACAAAACCTGATCATGAACACAAAGTAAACTGTTTCTTATTCCTCTTGAGGGACATCGCCATTTAATAATTCACAGGCGAATCGTTGCACCATGGTAACCTTATTTTATTTTATATCTATGTAGTGGGCTCAAACGGAGACTCAGACATACTCTTGGAGGCAACACATTTATTAACATTAACACGTTAACACGAAGGAGTAACTGCCCCTTCACCAGAGAGTACACTATGATGGTGGACCACCAGGCTATCTACACTAATCACACGTAACTAGCTACAACGGACCGGACCCCGCTTGGGTCCGGGTTCTCGTGTTGGAGACACTGTAGAACGTGGAACGTGGACGTGAAGTCTTCGGGATGAACAACAGCAGCTGGTCCCACTGGGGGCCCGGCGTATATTGTGTGGCGGGGCTCGCTCCGCCCCTAGCCATGACCACCTTCTCAAATCCTCGAGAAGGGTCTTTAACTGGACACGTGATCACCCCAGCCCCCCTTTGGGGGTCCTCCGGGGTCAACCAGAGTGCCATGGCCCCTTTGAAACCCTGTTCCATGGCCGGCACGCTCGCACCCTATCCTCTAGGGGCTGGCGCTGCATGCAGCGCGTGTGCCATCCGTCGCTGTCAATCAGCGCTCACCGAGCCCCGCTTAGGGCCGGTACTGCATCCACATTCCAGTGGTGTCAGCGATGTCATTACATCACACGCCGTGCCTCTCATGGCCCTGCTTCACAGTGACATCCCGCTACATCTATATTATCTCAAGGTGCTCTATTACATAGTTTAAAAAGCAGTAACAATAATAAAGTGATTTAGATGGCAAGGGCACAATGCAAGGGCTGAGGAATGAGTGAAGTTATAAATAGGCATGTAGGGGTCACTAAAGGGTTATCAGAGAGGAACAGGAGGAAGTGTAGGGGCGAGGGGAGAGAAAAGGAGGATAATGGGCAGAGGAGAGGAGGTGACGCTTTTAAGTAAGAAATAAAGAAGGACGTTAAGGATGGGGGACTGCTTAATGAACAGATTTTGTGTCTATGGATAGAAAATTTCGATTTAAAGCTTTCGTGACTGCAGGGATTCATCTTCTTGGTTCTTTCGGTAAAGTCACGTAGAAGGAAAATAATAAAAATAAAACATAATAAAATAATTCTCACGACGTTTCGGCCACAACGCAAGCAGCCGTCTTCAGGTGGCGAACAGGTCTGTCTGGGGCGTGCCATTCAGACTCTGCCTTCTCGACAGACCTGTTCTCCATCTGAAGACGGCTGCTTGCGTTGTGGCCGAAACGTCGTGAGAATTATTGAATTATGTTGTATTTTTATTATTTTATTATTTTCCTTCTACGTGACTTTACCGAAAGAACAAAGAAGATGAATCTATGGATAGAGTTGAGTTTATGGGCAGTGTTAGTCTATGGGCAGTGTTTAGTCTATGGGCAGTGCTGAGTCTATAGGCAGTCTTGAGTCTGGGGGCAGTGTTGGTCGATAGGCAGTGTTGAGTCTATGGTGCAGTGCTGAGTATGTGGACATTGTGAGTCTATGGGCAGTGTGAGTCTATGGGTGGTGTTGAGTATATGGGCAGTGTTAAGTCTATGGGCAGTGTTGAGTCTATGGGCAATGGAGAAAAAGTGATTGTTTATCGTACAGGGGATGGTTTTGTTCCACTGCTCAGGTTCAAAGAAGAGCAGGGAAGACTTTAACCTGAGTTCGAGTAACATCTTGATGGCTGGCTCGCTGTACCGGGCGCGTGAGACACCCACGGCGTACCACCAGGAGTTCAAGGTGGACGGGCAGACATCGTCTGTTGACATTGACAGCAAGGCCATCTCAAAACTCAATGAAAACTCCAACCTGACCATCACCAGCATGGCCTTCACGTGAGTCACAGACCCCAATACACACACGGGCATGAAAAAGAGCTATAAGATTAACTCTCACTACAATACTAACTTTGATCATAACATTAGCACTAACAATAACTGTAACCCTAACGGTAACCATAACACTTGCACTGACCAGTGCAGACAACAGCACTAACACTGGCACAAAACACGAATGCTAACCTACCACTAACATGAGTACCAACCCTAACGATAACCCTAACGATAACCCTAACACTCGCCATAACACTGACTCTTAACACTAACCCTAACAATGACCCCTAACACATGTATAGTGAGCAACTTCCGACACACGTCTAGTAGAAGGCTTCTTATTTATTAAGAGCACACAGGGCGGTACACTTCATAACGCGGCTACACCTAGGCTGTCCAAACACGCAGCCCATCTCCGTTCTGCGCTACACTGGCTGGTTGACGAGCATAGCGGCGGCGACGGAGCTGGTCTTGCAGAAGGACAGCCACGTGGTCGAAGACGAAGAAGTGACGACGGCAGCGACGCAACCAGGACCCAGACCCCACGCTAACAGCCTTGAACCTCTGGTTCGGTGCTCCTTATATGTGCTTGGTGCGGCCAAGCTCCACCTCTGGCCACGCCACCTTTCCAGAACCTTTGGGTTGGTTCCCGGAGATTCTCGACTGACTCCACCCTTGACCTTTACCCCAGATACGCCCTTTCATAATAAGGCATTATGTAATGCAGCGATAACCGTAATTATCCCTACAAGCCGGCAGGTGTCACCCTGTCATTACACATGCATAGTTAAACGATTTCTAATACGAGGCCTAACTCTAACCGAAGCCCTAACTCGACCATAACACTAGCCCTAACACTAAATTCGACTGTAACCCTAACGATACTGCTATCCTAACATGAGCACAAACTAACTCTAGCCCTATCCCTAACCCATACTCCAATGGTAAAATGTTTTTTTACCCTAACGCTATCCTCAATGCCAACACTGAAAATAACCCTAACACTCTTCTTGGTTCTTTCAGTAAAACATAATAAAATATTATGTTTTATTTTTATTATTTTATTACTTCCCTTCTACGTGACTTTACCGAAAGAACCAAGAAGATGAATCCCTGCAGTCACGAAAGCTTTAAATCGAAATCCTAACACTAACACTAGAATAACCTCTGACCATCACCAGGATAGTAATCACGTGACATGAATCTACACAATGCATTCGCCGTAACCTTACCAACATAAGCGGTGGAGAGAGTACGGAGGGGGTCGTGTGGAATGGGGACAGCACTGAGGGAGCAAAGGCAACACAGCTAATAGCTGTCCCTGTGTGCCACTGTCCCAGCTAACAACTGTCTCTGTGTCACTTCCCCCGTTAACAGCTGTCCCTGTGTGTCACTTCCTCAGCTAACAGCTGCCCCTGTGTGCCACTGCCCTAGCTAACAGCTGTCCCTTTGTGCCACTGTCCCACCTAACAGCTGCTCCTCTGTGTCACTTCCCCCGTTAACAGATGTCCGTCTGTCACAGTCCAAACTAAGAGCTGTCCCTGTATGCCACTGTTCCAGCTAACATCTGTATCTGTGTGTCACTTCCCCAGCTAACAGCTGTTCCTGTGTGTCACTGCCCCAGCTACCAGCTGTCCCTGTGTGCCACTGCCCCAGCTAACAGCTGTACCTGTGTGGCACTGCCCTAGCTAATCTGCTGCTATTAACCCATACAAAATAAGAATCTAACTGCTGTCCCTGTTTGCCACTGTCCCAGATAACAGCTGCATCTGTGTGTCACTTCCCCAGCTAACAGCTGTCCCCGTGCTCTGCTGTCCCTTGTCCCACAGCACGCTGATGGACCTCCTCCCCCTGCGGCTGGCTCCGGCCCTAGCGAGCGAGGCCTCGTCTGGCCCCCCAAGTGTGGGGAGCCTGGTTCTGAGCACCGTGCTGAGCGGGGCCCAGGGAGGGGGCAGTTCCGGCATCTCCATGAATCTGGCACTGAGAGGGGTGAAGGCAGGGGTACCCCTCAAGGAAACCCCCCATTGCTCCTTCTGGGACTTCAAAGTAAGATGCCAGTCGACAATGAGTGGGAGGAGAGGATGTTGACATGAGTATAAACTAAACTAAAACATGTTTTTTTCACCAGGCCCAACTGAGCTATATGATTCTATTTCACCAGCGAATTTGCCACAAATGATAGCTCAACGAAGTGGTATGTAATGTGGATATGTATAGCAGCCAATTACTCGTAATCCATGTTGATTCTAAATGTGGATGGAAAAACAGGCGGATCCGGAGTATAATCCACACAACCACAGGATGAACTTTCGGAGATGCTTGTGAATACCAAATTTCGCCTAAAATGATATTGGCCTATGGAAACTTTTTTTTTTACAAATTACCATAATCGCAAGTAATTTTAAATACGTGAAAATTATCACAGCACTAAAATAATTGGTTATAATAAACATAAAGCAAATACAAATAAATATGAAAGTATGATACGTTATTTGTCATCATTTGATCTCATTGCTTTCTTTTTCTTTTTCTCAATGCAGTCTAGTAGAGTTCCAGATGCGATAGCCAAAATCACGGAGAAACAAGTTTGTGAATAACTGAGGAATATTACATTTGTTTTCACAGTTAAATGGCAGTGTTGGGGGGTGGTCGACCGAAGGCTGCACAACCGGCAACACCAAAGACAACGCAGTCTCCTGTATCTGCACTCACACAACCCCCTTCAGCATCTTACGCTTACGTGAAACAAGTCAGGGGGATCCCACCTTTACCATCATTACCTACGTGTGTCTGAGCATCTCCATTGCATTCCTCATCTTTGCTGTGGTCCTGGAGTCCATGGTGCTGCATCAGAATAAGCGATATGGCCACAAGTCCAACGGCGAGGAGAACGACGACGATCATGGAGGTCATCGCTCCCTTAGCCGCGGCATCAAACTCAATGTCCTCTGCGCTCTGCTCCTCTCCCACGTTTGGTTCATGGTGACCATCTCCGACTCAAACCCAACAGTCTGCTCGCTCTCACAGTTCTTCCTCCACCTCAGCTACCTCTGCGCATTTTCGTGGCTACTATTGCAGGCCATTCACCTCCTGCTCAACGGCAACGCCATTTATGGGGGCTTGTCTGGGCGCAAGGTGATGGCGGCCACCTTTGCCGGGGGCTACGGCCTGCCGGTGCTGATTTCCGTGATCACAGTCGCCGCCACTCACTCGAGCAGAGCGTACATGCAGCCCGACTCGTGCTGGCTCAACTGGGATGGCAGCAAGGCCCTCGCCCTTGTCGTCCCCGTCTTGCTTGTCATTGCGGTGGGTCTGGCGGTTGCCATCTACATCTTGCTGAGAGCTCGGCTCTGGGATCACGATGGCCAGAAGCGGCAGGAGGGTGGGGGTCTGCTGGGTGATTCCACCACTGGGAAGGCATGGAAGCTGCTAATTCTCATGACGGGGCTGGCCGTGATCTGGGGTGTGGGAGCTTACTTCTTCATGCCTGATGGAAATAAGATTCCTGCCATCATGTACCTGTTTGCCGTCCTCAATGCGCTCCAGGTGAGGATGATGTGCGTGGGTTTGTTATCCTGGGGTCGTAATCATCAGCAATCATCAATCCACTGCTCGATGCAGGCATCCTCAAGTCCTCGCCATCTCTCACTGTTCTGCTTACCTCATCACTCCTATCGTGCCTCCCACTACTTCCCATATCTCCGCTGCCCTTTCCTAACCCCGAAATACCCTCTATTGCTATCACTCAATCTTCAATCCTTGCACTCCTCTTGCCATCCGAATCATTCTATTCGGTCACCATTTTTCTTTACTATGTCAAGTGAAGGCTCTCCATAAATGTAAAATTATATATTAATATTCTACGACCCACCTCGCACTGGCACATCAACCAGCTTTATCGCTCCATCTTCAAGTCTCATTGTGGCCACCAAGGAATGAATGCTGTCGATGTCTTTTCTTCCACTCCAAGAATATTCTTGACTCGTGGCCATTGACTTTTCCACAGTATGTCCTATGAACATCAAACATAATTAAATGCAATCGCTTTGTGTGTGTGTCTTGCTGTGTCTATAGGGGATGATTGTCGTAGTTTTCAACTGTTTACTGGATGAAGAGGTGAGTGTATTTTAATGAAATCATCACGAATTACATAATTTTTTAACATCACTGATGGGGTATCTCGACAATGATCGACTAGCAGACTGGTCTCTGATGGGATCCCCACCAGTCTAGACAATAACTAGAATGACCGGTCTTAGTTGGGTTCGCTAGACAGTTATTTAATGGCAGGCAGTGCTTATATCTTTAGAAAATGGTGGTCTGATATACCGGTCTCTGATGGGGTTTACAGACAAAAAAAACACTTGACAGACTGGTATCTAAAGGTATCTAAACACAGATAGACTAACAGACCGGTCTCCATTGGAGTAATAATGAGATAAATGTAAAGTCTTGTGTCCTTCTTGTTGTTGTGTAACAGGTGAAGCGGTTACTAAATAGGTCTATGAACATTGTGAGCTACGTAAGTAATTTACAACTCATTTAAAACACCCACAGCCTAGGCCTGAGAGCCTGTCTTCTACGCATACCCCCCGCTCCCCCTGCCCCCTTTCTTTCATATGGACACCCCAGCCCAGACATTTATCCAAAGTGGGAAATCTAGGCAAAGTGGTGCTTTCATTGCAGCTTCTTCAAGCGATGATAATTACATTTAATGGGGTCATCGGATGGTCTAGGGCAGTGATTCTCAAATTTATTTGGAACCACAGAACACTGCAAATATTTCTGCAGACCACCCAACCACCGACCTCTGGTGACAAATGCATTAAACTTATCCCCCTGAATACCAGGAACACTAAATGAATCATATTACTGGAGAATACTTTTTTTGTTAAACGCAACTATACGTTGTTTTTTTTGAGGGGTGGCATTTCGATCTTAGGGTTCGGGTAGTTTCATGCGGGTAGTTTACTTAACAATAAAAAAAAATCTCGAGTAAAATATAAATTATTATCTAAAACAAGAGGTATAAACATTATTACTTCCGAATCAACCTGTATTTGCATCAGCCACCACGGACCACCTGGAGGACCACTGCCGGTAGTGGTCCAGGGACTGCAATGTTGCTAAATCCTGAAGGGGTTGTTTCCATAAATATCCAATGTGCATGGATGTCTGTCTGTCTCCCTTTTCCAGATATGTGTGTTTTCTATACATTTTATTCAATAACAAATGTAACTTATCTACGTATTAATACAATAATGCCCCGTTATCATCATAACTCGGAATCTCAGAGCATGGTTGAGAGCTTGGGTAGCACTGTTTACGCTACTGTCTGGTAGCAGAGTCAAGTGTAGCAACATCTATTGTACTTCCGTGATCCCACGTCTATACTCTGGACTGCGTGTCTATGCTCCCACATCGATAGTTCAGTGATGAGTGCGATGAGGTACGGTGAATTACTCCCAACCATGACCCATAAACATGGCAACGTTGGACCACCATTTGGCATACTGGATGCAAGCATTCGACCGATGTAGGCCCAACATTGGTGCAACGTTCCATAATTACTATATCTTAATAACCAGATCCTCAGTATCCCTAAGTATCAATACCTTGAGCCCTGGTCTCCCTGAGTTTTAAGATCCTGAGCTCTGGTCTCCCAGTATCTCTAGACTCTGAGACTCGGTCTCAATGAGTCTCAAATCCCTGAGAGCACATCGTACTAATCCTGAAATATATTGACAAAAATGTGCTACACATGTACACCTCGCCATAATCTTTCTCCAATGTGTCTCAAACTCATTCTTGAATGGAATGTCTTTCTCTTTTTATTTTAGGAGGGGATGAAAAAGAAAGGTGAGATTTGACATTTAACGCATCACCTGCACCCAGAGCGGGATTAAGATTGTGTAGGCCCCTGGGCTACAGGTACTGTGAGGCCCCCAGTAATCGTTTCAAATGAAAAACAAAGTTAAAGAAAAATAAAATTATTTTTTACAAGGCTAACAACAAATAAATTTCAGCATTCACAAATGAAATAACTTTTCACTTCATCTCTGGAGGCCCTCCAGCTGGCGGAGGCCCCTGGGCTGCAGCCCCTAAAGCCCATGCCTTAATCTGGCTCTGGCTATACGGGGGAAATTCGTATCTCTCTGTGGTAATGGGGCCTCCTGTAAGTTGACTCGGCCTTAAATGAGAACTGGGGAAACAAAGACGGCCGAGCAGGCGTGCCACAGTGCAGGCCTTCACAGCTGGTCACTCCTAACCACGTAACTTTCCCGTCCATGCTGCTAGATGCTACACGGAGGAACTTTGTCTTCGTATCGTGGTCTAGAGCATTTGGCTGCTATACATTTCTATGTGATTAGCAACTTTGTTCAGCTATCAATTGTGATAGCCAGGTCGCTTCTGAAAAGAGCTGATAGCTCAGGTGACAAATTACGATGTCGGGAACGCATTTCCATAAGGCCAATGCTATAATGGCCCCTTATAGCACTTATTCACCTCGCGCTCTCGTTTCAAGGCACGCATTCCCCGCTCTAAACGGGGTATGCATGTGGTAGGAGATGCGTTCCTGACAAGTGCCGCGTTACGCACAAAACCGCGTTGAGCGAGTAAACAATCACTGTACAGTAGTGTACAGTATGTACCTGGTAAATAAAATAGTCGCCCCTTCCACATCACGGGGCTTAGGGGAGCTGGCACCCCAGCCGTAGTGATACAAAGATCACTGCGAGAGGACTGCGAGCTATCACGTGAGAGGCTGCCATAAACATGCTTGGTGTCCTCCAAAACCAGTGCGTAGAACCGCAGTTGTTTTCGCAAACGAACTTTTTACAAAATGTAACTTTAAAAAATCGAGTATATTTATGGTATTTAAAGATAAAATACATTAATATTATACAGTACTGTACATATATTTTATGCATTTATGAGTTACTAAACTTTTTGCGTGTCGTTTGCGGCTCTCGAAAAACTCCCAGCAAAATTCCCCTTTAAATGTTTTATGCCGACCCCGCGATATATCGAAACCGCGATGGGGAAAGTCGCGATGCAGAAGGGTCGACTGTAGTTTAGTTTCAGTATGGGTTTGTGTGGGTCTGTATGGGTCTTTGTGCATATATGGGTCTAAATGAGTCTGTAGAAACGTGCGTTTAGATAATTTGGCTGCTGCTATAAATTCCAATGTGGTGATGATGTTCATGATGATAAGCCACTAAGTTGAATTGATATCAATTGTGGACAGGTCGCTTCTGAACAAGAGCTATATAGCTCCGTGGGCCTTCCCTGGGTAGAATACAAAGTTTTGTTTTCGCTTGACTTTCCATGTGCTTCGTGTGTACAGATTCGCCCCTTGTGGTCTCCGAATACGACATAGAGAACAACACGGTGGACGGAGTCTACCGATTACAACGACCCAAGCAAGGTGTTCACACTGACGATGCGTTTACGCAAAAACAACGCGGTTCTTCCGTTCAGGAAATATTTTGGGCACAACGCAGAACACACCCCAACATAACGCGGTTTCTGAAACGGTCAACGACTAAGTACTTTCTTGAGCTGCATTGCTGAGCAGTATGATACAGTATAATGAATGAGACGGCACCCTTAACTCGGTTCTATGTCGCGCGATGGGGACAGCTGTAGTGTACAGTATGTACACTACTGTACAGTGATTGTTTACTCGCTCAACGCGGTTTTGTGCGTAACGCGGCACTTGTCAGGAACGCATCTCCTACCACATGCATACCCCGTTTAGAGCGGGGAATGCGTGCCTTGAAACGAGAGCGCGAGGTGAATAAGTGCTATAAGGGGCCATTATAGCATTGGCCTTATGGAAATGCGTTCCCGACATCGTAATTTGTTACCTACGGCCAACACATTAGGGGTTCATTGGGTTATTGGAACAGATGATGAACATGATTTATAACTACTCTTAATGGTCAAATAAGATAAAACATTGGACTTACCAGATGTGGCGAACTTGCCAGCGCTGGGAGACAAGATGGGAATAACAAGGGGGAAGATGGGCGGGGTTGTGGCTCATCCTCCAGCGAACTCTGGTAGCCTTCTTGAAGAAGGCATCACCCGGTAAAAACGGTAAATTACCTTACCTTGCCGAGGCCTACTCGCACACTTTGCCGGCCTTCATAGGCACAGCCTCCTACTAACAGCACTTGCCCCCCGACAGTCCCGTTAAAAAAGTGTACCTGGGGGGGGGGGGTACTGTCGCCTTTTGTTCGTGTGTGCAGTCACCTGCGCGATCTGCGGAGGGCTCCCAGAGGTGTCGTGCACCGAATGCAAGCAGCCGTTCTGTCGTAGCTGCGACGAGAAGCAGCACGAGCGCCTCGACCGCAGGAACCACGAGCGGAGCATGAACGGCGGACAGAGTGAGGCCAGCACCCCCCCCCCCCCGGCTACACGTTGGGGGGACACCGGGGGGGGGGGTGGGGGCGCACCGGGGGGGAGGACGCGGGGGGGGGGGGGATATGGGGGGGAGGATACGGGGGGGGGGGGCTGCCTCCGGACACGGGGAGACTGGGGCACTAAGGGTCGAGAGGTCAGACACAGGGTGACCGGGTCTCGGTGTATAGAGACACAAGGAGACCGGGTCTCAGTGTGTAGAGACACACGGAGACCGGGTCTCGGTGTATAGAGACACAAGGAGACCGGGTCTCAGTGTGTAGAGACACAGGGTGACCGGGTCTCGGTGTATAGAGACACAAGGAGACCGGGTCTCAGTGTGTAGAGACACACGGAGACCGGGTCTCAATGTGTAGGGACACAGTGAGACCGGGTCTCAGTGTGTAGAGACACAAGGAGACCGGGTCTCAGTGTCTAGAGACACAGGGAGACCGGGTCTCAGTGTATAGAGACACAAGGAGACCGGGTCTCAGTGTATAGAGACACAAGGAGACCGGGTCTCAGTGTCTAGAGACACAGGGAGACCGGGTCTCAGTGTGTAGAGACACAAGGAGACCGGGTCTCAGTGTGTAGAGACACAAGGAGACCGGGTCTCAGTGTGTAGAGACACAAAGAGACCGGGTCTCAGTGTGTAGAAACACAGTGAGACCGGGTCTCAGTGTCTAGAGACACAGGGAGACCGGGTCTCGGTGTCTAGAGACACAGTGAGACCGGGTCTCAGTGTGTAGAGACACACGGAGACCGGGTCTCAGTGTGTAGAGACACACGGAGACCGGGTCTCAGTGTGTAGAGACACAGGGAGACCGGGTCTCAGTGTCTAGAGACACAGGGAGACCGGGTCTCAGTGTGTAAAGACACAAGGAGACCGGGTCTGAGTGTGTAGAGACACAAGGAGGCCGGGTCTCAGTGTGTAGAGACACAGGGAGACCGGGTCTCAGTGTGTAGAGACACAAGGAGACCGGGTCTCAGTGTGTAGAGACACAAGGAGACCGGGTCTCAGTGTGTAGAGACACAAGGAGACCGGGTCTCAGTGTGTAGAGACACAGGGAGACCGTATCTCAGTGTGTAGAGACACAAGGAGACCGGGTCTCAATGTGTAGGGACACAGTGAGACCGGGTCTCAGTGTGTAGAGACACAAGGAGACCGGGTCTCAGTGTGTAGAGACACAAGGAGACCGGGTCTCAGTGTCTAGAGACACAGGGAGACCGGGTCTCAGTGTATAGAGACACAAGGAGACCGGGTCTCAGTGTGTAGAGACACAAGGAGACCGGGTCTCAGTGTGTAGAGACACAAGGAGACCGGGTCTCAGTGTGTAGAGACACAAGGAGACCGGGTCTCAGTGTGTAGAGACACAAGGAGACCGGGTCTCAGTGTGTAGAGACACAAGGAGACCGGGTCTCGGTGCCTGTGTATATTCTATATACATTGCTCAGTGTCTGCGCACTACATGTACACTGTTCACTGTGTGTGTATTCTGTGTACATGGCTCACTCTGTGTGTATTCTGTGTACATGGCTCACTGTGTGTGTATTCTGCGTTCATTCCCCATCGCTTCCGTGCGACTGCAGGCAATGTCTGTGGCATCTGTGGTAAGCCGACGGAGGTGACGTGCGACGACTGCGAGGGATCATTCTGTTCGGAATGCGACGACAAGAGCCATCGGCACCCAGAGCGCCTCTTTCACAAACGCTCACTTCGAAGCTCCTCCAATAACCTTATGGAGATGTAACCACCTGGGGGTTGCAGTACAGAATGATGAACTTAAGTATCGAAGTCACATTGTCAATTCAGTTCAAGATAAGCTCTGCCGAAACACTAAATTGATAAGGGGGTTTCAACGTTGTGAGTTTCTAAGTCTATTTTTAACCAATAACAATGATTATCTTTTACCAATTATTGACAGAATGATGAAACATTTTAAGAGTTAACACCGACATTTATAATATAAACATCCCTATTTCAGACACAGACCACCTGCAGGAGTGATGACTCCTTGCATGAGTGTTGTCATATCGGCCATGTGGCATCGGGGACAATATAGTGCCCATTTTTCTAATTGGCTTAACAAAAATGTAGCTTGATCGATGTACTTTATTTCACCAGATTGTAACGCATGGTGGTGTAGGTGATGGTAGAATGAAGGCACACCACGAGAGTTGGTTACTTCCAGCTTTATTCATGCATCTAAATTGTATCCTGTGCTTCCTCTCTCTGCTGCGCCCAGTTCCCCCTTCCCCCACACAAGCATCCCTTTTAAATATACCTCTGGACCCACCTCCTAGTCCTTACCTCAGCACATACATTATGCATGTGTAACGGGTTCCGGAGACACTTGTAGATGTACTTCTTTATTACAATACAACACTCCAACAGTACTCCAACTCTCCAACAGTCCTGATACTCTGTTACAGCCTAGCTACACAGCCTAGATACTCTACTCTGGCTACGCTCCGGAACTCGCCCTCACAAGGTCGTAGAGTCGGGAGTTCCAGAGTCCCAGCGCTGGCTCTCGCAGCATCCCAGGGTCTTCAGATGGCTGGTCGTGGGTCTTGGGTCTTGAGTTACAACTGGGCCCTGATCGTCCAGGGAGCTCTCCTTTAATGCCTGGTCTAACGAGGGGTGGGGCCGTGTGCGCCACCAGACATCCCACAGAGCACACACAGCCCCCCCCCCTGTTGGCGGCGCCAAAAAGGCTTAAGCGTCTGGACCCCCTGGGAACCCAGCGCCTGGCGCCCAGAGGCTTAAGCGTCTGGACCCACCTGGGAACCCAGAGCCCCCAGCAACCCCTCCCTTCTTATGTCACTACACATGCATTACATCTTTAGGCATATTTTACATCTCTCTTTTTCACAATAAACAAACTTAATTACAACAAACCTCAGCACTTCAACAATAACTTAATATTCAAATTCTTCACAAAGGATGAGCGTATGATAAAAGCACCACGCAAATGGCTCTGTTGTTTTACAGGAGTCGACTGCTTTGTAATGCCAATAGTACATTGAAGGGGGATTATTCTGCCCCCATAAAATCAAGCTACATAATCCCTCAGATGGCACGGTTGATTCACCAATCGCCCGACCCTCGTCCTGATCATGGGAGCCTCGCCATTGTGGAGCTGAGGCATTGTTGCTGGCCCCACCTCTGCTGACAAGTTGGGCAGTTATTGACCACAGGAATTGGCCTCGCAGGACAGCCGCTTTGGGGAACATTCCTCTGGGCTTCCAACATGCCTGGTGTTCTTGACTGGTATATTGTGTTAAATTGCCAAAGTTGGTGCTGGTCTTGTCAGGTGTTGCCACGACCAGTGTGTTGCTTGGAGTTGAGGCCATCTGAGGGGCTGGTGGCACGATGGAGGACCTGAGGGGCCAATGACATGAAGCCCTGTAAGTGGACAGTCACAAGTCCCGTCTATTTTGGCGGAACTTCTCTCAATCATGTTCCACAACATAGGACCTTGGAGCATCATGGGTCCCTAACACGGTCATCTGCATCCAACGCTTGTCTCCAAGCAATGGTACCATGTGAACCGGATCCCATAGGATAACCTGTATGTCCTTTCCGCTCTTCCGGTCATGATATAGCCACTGTTTTTGTTTTGCTCGATCCAGCCTGCAGCGCACGTCTGCTAAATCATAAAATGCTGGCTGCAGCAGCTCTCTGGCAGCTGGGAGTAGATTCCGTGGTCGACAGGACATACGCAGCTGGGCAGGCAACGGGTTGTAGTTCTGTAATATGAAAGAGATTACTTGGCCCACATGCACTTGACTATCTGAACAGCCTTTTCAGCTTCTCCATTGGAGCGAGTGTAATATGGAGACGATGCCTGATGATCAATCGGAAACTCTTGGCAGTTGTCTACAAATTTCCGGGAGCTGAATATTGGGTCCATTGTCCGTGCGCAGCTTCTTGGCTATTCTGTGACAGTGCAATTGTGCTTCCAAAGCCTTGATGGTAGCAGTTGATGTGAGATTGTCTAAATGCTCCACCTCTATATACTTAGAGAAGTAGTCGACAGGTACAAAGTAATGCTGACCTTCCTACTCGAAGAGGTCTGCTGCTACTTTCACCCATCGCAGGTCTGATTTCTTTGTCGGGCGAAGCGTTTTCATGCTGCTGCTTACTCTGAAAGTCATTGCAGTCTAGACAGTCGCTGACGGCAGCTTCTATCTGGATCATCATTTTAAACCAGCTTCTCTAGCCCGTTGTTTGCACTTTACTGTCCCCAGATGTGAGGCATGAAACTGCTTTGTCATGGCAGGTCTCACTGAGGGTGGCACTACAATTCTCATTCCGTTATAGATTATTCCATCACAGATGGACAACTCGTCACAGAAGGTCCATAATTCTCGGATGATGTGGGTCATCTCCAACTTCGTAGCAGACCACACTTTGAGTATAATTGTGTTCAACTCATTCATCTCATGGGCTGTGGCCTGCTGGAAATGTGCATAACGGGCAGGGGTGTCTTCAATATAGTCAACTATGTTAATCAGTGCTGGCTCAATGTCTGGTACTCGCAGATTTGCCCAAATTAGTGCATCCCCAATTGGGATCTCTGACCCTGGCTTGTATGTCACCAATAAGTCATATGGTTGCAGTCTGAGCAGCATTGACTGCTGCCTCATTGTGGCAGATAGTAAAGGATTTTCAAACATATATTTAAATGGCTTGTGATCACTCACCACTGTGACTTGAATACCGAAGATGTAGTAATGAAAGTTATTTCAGCTGTGGAGAATGGCAAGAACCTCCTTTTCTATTTGCGCATATCTCTGTTCCGTGTCTGTCAGAGCATGCGACGTGTACGCAACAGGGCGACCACCCTGGAGAAGTACTCCCCCTAAGGCAAAACTACTTGCATCGCACTTAATGATTTTTGACATCACAGGGTTGTAATAAGCCAACACCGGGTTCTTTAGCACAAATCCCTGAGCCGGTCAAAGCTCCTTTGCTGAGGCTTGTCACAACTGTCTTGCACAGCATCTCACGCAGTGGGGCATCTACCTCGCTGGCATTGGGCAGGAACATAGACAGATTGTGTTTAGTCTTTGGAGTTGCCATTTCTTGCACGGCTTTGACCTCATCATTGTCTGGCAGCATTCCTCCATTTGTGATATGGCCCAAATACTTGACTACAGCAGACTTGGCCTGGCACTTGTCAAAGGTCAGCTTCAAGTTGTGCTTAGTCGCACTCTCCACCACCCATTTCATCACCTGGGTGTGCCCTTTATTGTTACGTTCAGCTATTAGGATGTCATCCATAATAGCTCTGGCTCCTTGCAAGTATTCTAACATGTCCATATTTTTTTGATACAGCTCTCTGGTTTACTTCATGCCAAATGGAAGCCGGAACCATCTGTAACGTCCTGCCGGTGTGTTGAAAGTAGTTATCAGACTGAACTTGTAGTCGTGCTTAATCTGTAATAATCCAGACTTGGCATCGATCACTGAAAATACTTTGGCATTTGGTGGCATTGATGCAACCAATTTCTCTACTGTTGGGATAGGATAATGTTCCCTTCTGATGGCCTTGTTGAGGTCTTTTGGGTCAATGTAGATCCTTACTTTGTTATTCTTCAACACTGTTACCAGAGAGCTGACCCAATCAGTGGGCTCTGTCACTTTTGCAATATGAGCTTCCATCAATATGACCTTCCGCCTCCATCTCCCTCAACTTGGCTACTATCTTATACATCAAGCCTTTGGCTGTCAGCATGGCGCACGGACAACAGGTGGCACTGTTGGATCTATTTTAAGGAAGTAAGTTCTTGGAACTTACTTTTCTTACACTCGGGATATTTTCCCATATCAATCACGTGTTGGACTCTCTCCACTAAGCCCAACAGGCAACTAGCATTTCCTGATAGCAGGGACTTCTAGTATATTTGTGCCACCTGATATTCAAGGTGGACTTCTTTTTGGTTGTACTGTGTTGCCGGCGTGGTCTTCCTAGCGACTGCGATGGGTTGATTGGAGTACGTCCATGGCATTTCATAAACCGTTTAGATTTGGCTGTGATATGTATAATAATTATTTAACCACAATTTTTTTTTAATAATTAGGATCCTTTACGGTTCATGATTGATGTAAAATATATAAAAACATTTTTTCAAGTAGTTATTTTTTTAATTATCAACGATTATAATATTTTAAGCACTTATGATCTAGCTTCAGTCAACATAATGCAGTCCTGCTGCAGGTTTGTATATACAAACGTCGACTGTATTATGAACAATGCATATATTTACTGTCAATCATTGCCCGAGCTATTACAATCAAATTATATATCAGCTATGGGACCTTTTCGCCAATATCGTGATATTGATTCCTTGTAATTGGCGTATATTTGGTGTTTGATAATCTTAACACCTTTTGTGCTTTTGTAATCATGAAAAACTTTAATACCTAAATTTTTTATGGTTTGTCGAATTAAAGTTTTTTTGGGTTAGATCGCGTAAATGTCAATGTGTTGTACACCCTAACAGCAAGATTGTAAGGTTTGTCACGTAAACAGAATGTACCAATGTGTTACTATTTTAGCACACCGGTTGTTTTGAAGAGAAAACCCAAAACAATATTTACAATTTTAATTAATGTTTCGCTGGAAATGACAACCAGCATCATCAGGTGCTCATCACTGTGGACGCCATGGTGGCTATGAGATGTTAACACTCTCGCCTGGTATACAGGTCATGGGTTCGATTCCAACTGACGCCTGCTGTACATTTTGAGTTCTTAATGTCTCTCTCCCCGTGGTCGTGTGGATTTTTTTGGGTTCTCCGGGGTGTCCCTCCATATTTAGAAACATCCATTTAGAATGTTTGACTGCAATTACCTTCCATATTATAGGGCACTTCATGGAGCCATCATTTGTAGCCAGGTCGCTTCTCACAAAGACCAATATTGCTCAGTAAGCCTTACCCGATAAAATAAGTAAATAGTTTAGTTATTAGAACTCGGAAACGAACTCGGGTTACACTTGTATTGAACTTGCCTTGTCTTTATATTCTTTCAAATCTTTGACGCTTAATATATTCAGATCTACGAATCCTAACGAGCGAAAATGTTCGACTCATCTCGCGTGATAATTCAAGATAATCATAAAAAAATGGTGCAGGTTCCCGCGGATCCTGGGCCTATTCGTGTTTTTTTACTTAATTTTAATAATTCATATTCGTACATTTCCCCCCCCCCCCCCGCCTTCTCCATTTCAAATCACGAATGGTCGCGACCAGCCACACAGGAAAACGTCTTGTCTAATTAGAGCAACTGATGTTGGGGAGCCTTTGACCATTGAAAGGCGTGCTTATATCGCCATTTGTCGTGGCGCCGGAGCGGCTTCTATGGTTCCGTCTTCCTTAGCGTGGGGAAAACAATTACAATAATAATTGGTACCATTTCTATTGATTTAATCATTATATAGCAATAATAGCATTACCATTCGCTTTGCCACGCCCGTTCTGACGCGCTGAGGGCAACATGGCAATGCTGTAGCTGAGCGAGCGAGTGAGAACTGTGATCATGATTTTCAATTAAATGCCCTATCGCTATTTTAATTGGCAAAATGTAATAATTATTGTTGCTATAATTGCTTTCAGTTAAAGCGATACATCTATGCACGTTGGATATGCTGCTGCGATATCCACTACGATACATGTGTAGTGGAGTAACGCGCGTGGGGTTTTGCAAACAGTGTGTATGCACGTGTGAGCCGCGGACAGTGAGGTCACATCAGGGCGAATAGGCGCTGCGAGAGAAAGCAACGCGAGAGACGACCGATTAAGATGCATAGCCATCATTGGCTGGCTGCAAATGCACACGCGGAGTAGGCGCCTTGGAGTCTGCAGATTGAGGCGATAGCAGCGGACGCCTCGTGCGGGAGGAGACGGGAGGACGCTAGCTTAATCAGGGCGTTAAATGAGGATAAATACGGCAACGTGTGAGGTTGGGGGGGAGTTGGTTGGAGCGAAGAGAAGAGCAAACACAAGAGAAAGCCAAGGCCCCGCTCTCCACACCCCTTCCTCTCCAGCGGTGATGGCTGAACTGGAGGCAAGGGCGAGGTTGGAGAGGCGAGGGTAGAAAGGCTAGCAGTATAGAAGCTAGCGGAATCCTAAGTGTGAGTGCGCGAAGACTAGCAGTAGAGAAGCTAGCAGAGTATATAGCGGAATGCTAGCAGTGGAGAAGCTAGCAGAGTATATGGTGAGATGCTAGCAGTGGGGAAGCTAGCAGAATATATAGTGAGAGGCTAGCAGTAGAGAAGCTAGCAGAGTATATAGCGGAATGCTAGCAGTGGAGAAGCTAGCAGAATATATAGTGAGATGCTAGCAGTGGGGAAGCTAGCAGAATATATAGTGAGAGGCTAGCAGTGGGGAAGCTAGCAGAGTATATAGTGAGAGGCTAGCAGTGGGGAAGCTAGCAGAATATATAGTGAGATGCTAGCAGTGGAGAAGCTAGCAGAGTATATAGTGAGAGGCTAGCAGTGGAGAAGCGAGCAGAGTATATAGTGAGAGGCTAGTAGGGAAAAAGCTACCAGAGTGTATAGTAATAGGCTAGCAGTGGAGAGGCTAGCAGAGGGTACGGTGGGACGCTACCAGAGTGCGTAGTGATAGGCTAGCAGCGGAGAGGCTAGCGGAGTGAGAGAGAGAGCAGGCTAGCAGCGGAGAGGCTAGCGGAGTGAGAGAGCAGGCTAGCAGTGGAGAGGCTGAGAGAGGGAGAGAGCGGAGTGAGCAATGCGAGTGGAGCGAAGCGAGCGAGCAGTGCAGAGTGGAGGGAGCGAAGCGAGCGGAGCGAAGCGGGCGAGCCGAGCAAGCGGGAGAGTTGCGACGGAGTTACGTGGTGTTGAACGCGAAGAGTTCTGTTCGAATAAAAGTGACGCAGGAGAAAGAAAAGTTGTCTGCGTGAAATAACACCACTACACGTGTGCATTGTTATCGCATGGCAGTGTATATGTGCCTTGCCGTCTTTCATACATTACAGGACCTACACTCTTTGGTTCTTTCGGTAAAGTCACGTAGGTATAAAATAAAATAAATCACGACGTTTCTGATGATGGACGCTTGTGTTGCGCCCGAAACGTCGTGATTTATTAAATTTTATACCTACGTGACTTTAACGAAAGAACCAAAGAGTATGCATTCCTGCAGTCACAAAAGCTTCAAATCACTACAGTACCTATTGATCTCCAATATGACAAACGGCCTATACATATCAACCTATTCTAAATGTCATTTCATTCGACTGTCATAGAGTAAGTGCGCATGCTTTCATTTATTGTACGGTCAGCAGTTGACATAGGCAAGCCATAATTGCCATCTGTATAGTTTCCACTTTGAGTGCAGTCGTCAGTGGTTCTAAAAGATGACCCCTGCCATGGAAATACGATATTTCTACTGGTGGAGATGAGGGCCCCACACTGCCCGCAGGAGCATAGATACCATTTGTTATTCCATTGCTGTATGAGGGCCTCCACACGCCACGCAGGTTGTAGAGGCCCTTTGGCCATATTTCACCACCTGCTGGTCAGTGCGGATTGCTAAATGCGGGCAGCATAGATGTATAAAACAACTGCATGTAATCACAACTTTGCCCCGCAGCCCTATGCCAACCTGTTTGTACATGGTGGGCACCCCTCCAGCCACTGTCCAGGCTCACAGTTGCTTGGCTTTCGAGGTCCAAACAACTCGGCCACATTCCAAGTCCATAGGGGTTGAGGATAATAGTCTTGCTGTTCTTAACAGTTAACATCTCACACGTGTGCCTCCAACTCAGGTCACACGCAGAGGATGCACCCCACCCTCTAATCAGGCGAGATCAGATGTGGCCCGATATACCCACGCGCCGCCAGAGGTCGCAAAAAAGCAGAGAAAATGTTGAGTGTCGCCTGAGGGGCCGACCTTAGGTTGTGTTAACACCACCCCTGTAGGGAGATACGCATATATACATACCCAAACCCAGATAGTGGTATATATATGTACACATCAACCCCAGCGGCCATTTACAAGGCGATGGTGATGGGACCTGGATGTTTGTGGCAGGCTGCATCCACCTTGCCACGTGAAGCATCGAACGTTCACTGGCAGGAAACTAAGCCAGTTGCTGGTTAAATATAGATACATACATACATGCACAGACACACCCATGTACATGTCGAGATATCGACCTACATAAAGACACAGTATAAAACTGATGATCACACGTGCGCCTCCAACTCAAAGTGGGGGGTGGAGTATTAACCCCTGGGAGAGGTGCAGAGTGGTTGCTCAGCCGAGTTGACGAACTGGTGGCGCATGCCGGTGCACTCAGAGGGGGGGGGGGGGAAGTACCCTCCTGAAGGACGTTCCTCGGTGGAAGGATTATCCTCCTATATATATACATGGGACAACGGCTTTGAGGAAGAGATGGAGACCTGCCAGAGGTGGGCCCATCGAGTTTGAAGCAAATCCCGGAGGCATAGTAGAGGATCGTACAATGCACCCCCGAATGAGTTGCTAGCGATGATGGCGCATCAGGGCCTGGCAGAGGCAGGAGATGCGCCGGGCCGGTACTGGCCGGGCCGGTACTCGCCGTGCCGGCAAAGTCTCGGGTGGAGTCGCCCCACCAATTCCCCGACCTTGCTTGCGTCGACTTCACGTCACGTGACAGTAGGTTGCATAGTACCAAGTTGTGTCACGAGAAAAGGTTTTCATCAACATCCAATCTGATGGTGCATATATTTGGACAGACATATTTATATTCTTGCTTCTTTCGGTAAAGTCACGTAGAAGGGAAGTAATAAAATAATAAAAAGAAAACATAATAAAATAATTCTCACGACGTTTCGGCCACAACGCAAGCAGCCGTCCTCAGGTGAAGACCAAGTCTGGTCTCCCCGACAGACCTGGTCTTCACCTGAGGACGGCTGAAACGTCGTGAGAATAATTTTATTATGTTTTATTTTTATTATTTTATTACTTCCCTTCTACGTGACTTTACCGAAAGAACCAAGAAGATGAATCCCTGCAGTCACGAAAGCTTTAAATCGAAATTCAGACATATTTAGTTGTTGCCCATTAATTCTCCCTACAATAACCCTTGGACTAATCGGTCTGTATTTAAATAATGTTTTAGTTTTTGTGCTTAACTTTTCTTCCCCTGACCAGATCACTTCACCCAAATGTATCTCTCCCATTCCTTTTAATCTCATTTGTGGCAATCCTAGGATGTCGTACCTGCAAATTTCTATTTTCTTACTTAGCAGCTCTAACTGGACTGTTGCCCATAGTGTTCTCACATTCCATGTCCCTATTGTGATCTCCTCATTCTCAACCTCTTATTTGTTTTGGAATTTGGATGCTTTTTTCCTGATGATGTCGTAGTTGCTACTTTGCTTTCCGGTATTTAATCCCCCCCCCCCCGCAATTCTGGATACCCGTGTGGGGACGTGGACCCGGTGATGTCCGAGCCAGTACC